TGCGTCGTCGAACTCGAAGGGCACCTTCGGGGACTGAAGTCTCGACAAAGGAGCGGCCACTTTCGAGTATGACTCGACAAATCGCTGATAATATCTAGCCAAACCCATGAAAGAGCGTACATCCGTCGTGCAACAGGGTTCCGGCCAATCCACGATGGCTTGGATCTTGTCCGCTAAGGGACGAATGCCTTTCGGCGTGACAAAATGACCCAAGTACTCAAGCTCCTGCTTGGCGAACTCGCACTTGTCGAGATTCGCTTTGTACTTGGCTAGTCGCGAACGATCCAAAACAGCGCGAAGGTGTACGATGTGCTCGTCCAACGTCCTGCTATAAACCAAGATGTCGTCGAGGTAGATGAGGACGCTGCGATCGAGCAAGTCGTGAAACTCAATCGTCATAGCTGCTTGGAAAGTCGCGGGGGCATTGGTGAGGCCAAATGGCATGACAACCCACTCAAAATGCCCGTACCGCGTCTTGAACGCGGTCTTGTACCGATCTTGAGGCTGGATTTCAATCTGGTGGTAACCCGACTTCAAGTCCAACTTGAGAAGTACGTTGCGCCGCCTAACCGCTCAAGACGATCATCAATCTGAGGGAGAGGGTCGGCGTTCTTTACGGTTTGTGCGTTAAGTTTGCGATAATCGATGCATAACCGTAGATCTTTGTTCTTCTTCCGGATGAAGAGAACAGGGGCACCGTAAGGCGAACAACTAGGGCAAATCCAGCCCTTGTCGAGAAGATCATCGAGTTGTGCGCGGAGCACCTCAAGTTCCTCTTCGCTCATGCAGTAGATGCATCCACGAGGAGGGACGGCGCCAGCCTCGAGAGTGATCCCGTGACGTATGGGCCGATCCAGAACCGTTCCGGTGGGAGCCTCGAAGACGTTTCTATACTCGTCCAAGAGGTGAGAAATGCATGGGTCCGGCGGCACAAGCGGTTATCGGGTAGCTGAAAATTCAGGAATGAAAATTCTAAAGTGAGAGTTTTGGGCAGCCTGAAAATCCTGAATGGTTCTGAAGTGGTGAAAGGTCCGAAAACCCTGAAAACCACGTGTTTAGGCAGGCTGCATCCTGAAGTGGTGAAGGGTGTCTTGAAGTGGTCAAGTGAAAGTTTTGGGCAGTCTGAAAATCATGAATGGTCCTGAAGTGGTGAAAGGTCCAAAGACCATGAAAACCACCCTTCACCACTTGAGGATGCAGCCTGCCTAAACAGGTGGTTTTCAGGGTCTTCGGAGCTTTCACCACTTCAGGACCATTCAGGATTTTCAGACCTGAATAGTCCTGAAGTGGTGAAAGGTCCGAAGACCCTGAAATCCACCTGTTTAGGCAGGCTGCATCCTCAAGTGGTGAAGGGTGTCCTGAAGTGGTGATGAAAAATACGACTGTTGTTAACCTTCTCTCTCCGGCGGTGACGCGGCTGGTCCGTCCGGCAAGGGGAGAGCATGCAAGAATACAAGGCCCATCTTCTCAACGTCATTCCGAGCTATGGCGTCGCGAATTCTCGCAACGGAAACCACGTGACAAGCAATCGAAGTGCGAGGGGTCGCAACCATACATACTATCACTCCGTTCGGATCACGGATGTGAACGGTTCGGTCATGAAAGTTCACCGGATGATCGGCGCTACGCAACCAAGACATGCCTAGAATCATGTCGAACTTGGTGTCGAGGATGTCAAAAGACACCGGCTCGCACGCAAGTGGAGCAAAGTATACCGGAACGTCGTCGACGCATCGGTCAATCGACTTTTGCGTGCGGCCGTCCGCGAGTGTAACTTGCGTGGGTTGCGTCTTCCTTCGAACGCGCGGGCCAAGGCCTGAGCGGGCCATAAAGGCTTGGCTCATAAAGTTGCGAGACGCTCCGCAATCAATCAAGGCACTATAGGTTGCCTTTCCGATTTGAATGCGGATATAGAGCAAAGGAGCGTCGGTTTCGGCGTACCTTTGGGTGGCGTACTCGTGGTCAATCTTCGCAAGATAGGAGCGGAAATCGACAACCGCTACCCCGTCGTCCGTCAACGGAGCTGGTACTGTAGTGTGCAAATAGGAGTGTAGATTTACCATCAAGGCGTTGCAGTGCGGCCTTGGCAAGGTTCCGGTCGAGGGTAGAGGCATCCAAGCGAAGTCCTCTCTCGTTAGCGGGTCAAGCTCCTCAAGTCTTGACCACGCCGTCGAGTCCTCGGAAATCAGTGGCGAACTAACCGGATCACTTCCCAACGGTGTACAGGCTGCGCACACGCAATCTAAGTGCACGTGGCTCGACTGGTCTAGTGGTGGTACCAGCTGGGCGGCATAATCCTCGTACGTAGCACGAGAATCAGCGACTAACGCATGCTCCTCGGTAGTGACATCGATTGCTAGCAAGGCAACCGGGTCCGGCGGAGCGAGGAGAGACGTCGCCCCTCTCCTTGCGTAACTTAGTTTTCCGAGTTAGTTGGACGGGGTACGCGTGCCTTGCCCTTTTCAGGCCATTGTGCGGTCAAGTGAGTGACTCCATTGCACCAAAGGCAATATCCGTACCGTTGACGAAGGTCATAGATTTCCTTGGTTATCTTGTATCCCGTCTATGGCTTCTGCCCAGTTCCCGTCGATGTCGTCTCTTGTGTCGCCTTGTTCTTCCGAACTCTCTTGGGACGCTTCGACGGGAGCGCTGCTACAATTCCTCCATCACTCGAGGATGCTGCTGCAGCGTGGAGATCGACTGTTTCTTCAAAAATCACGGCATTGTTATGTGTCGGTCGTTGATAGCCCTGCTTAGACACATAATGTGGTTTGGACTACCGTTCGTTTGCGGCCTTGTCATCCGTTTGGATGACTAAGTTCGCACGATCCAGGATGGTCTGGAATGAGGCGTAATCGTACTCGTTGCCTGGTGCGGTTCGCAGTCCTGCGCACGATCGCAAGAAGAACTCGGATCGTTGGTTAGTGAAACTCAAATCGAAGCCTGACGTGGTCACTATCTTTTGCCACTTGGTTGTCCAGTCTCGAGTTGGCATACTCACTTGAGAGCAGGTGTACACCTCGTTCATGGCCGCCTTCACGACGTTGCGGACCATGAACCGGGTGAACCATAGCTGCTCGAACTCCTTCCACGTGATGTGCGTGTGGAATTCGGCGATGGTGCATTTCTTGGTGGCCGCCAGGTGGTTCATCCATGCCTGCGCTCCTCCAATCAGTTGTAAGTAGAGTGCCTTCATCATGTCGGCAGCCAGGACAGTGCGGCATGATGCTTCCGTGAGGAAACTTTGCCACCATGTCAAGGCGTCCGACTTGTTGTAGTCGTCGAACTTGCTGATGTCGAAGTGCGGCATCTTGTAATTCTTTGTAGCGGCGTTCGGTCTTGTCTGCAGTTTGGTGCTGCTCGTCTTGATGGCGACCACCGTGCTGCTGATCGTGGCCCGACTAGTGAAATCACCTAGTTCGCCAATGATGGTGACGACGTGATCGATGCGCTCGTTGAGCTGCTTCGTCGCGTCTGTCGTGCAGCCTGGCGCTGCTGAGGCCTTAGCCTCGATGCTGTTGATGCGTGCGAGAGTAGAGCTCAACAATTGTTGTTGTTGCTGCTGCTGTATTGCCGCGTCGCGGACGGCAGCTGTTAAAGCGGTCGGGTCTTGCTGGTGCTTTTGTCTTTGCTGTCGTTCCGTGCACAGGTGTGCCTGCAGCAGTTTGTTGTTCCACATTACTCCCCTCATCACGCTCAACATCACGGTAGCCAGGTTACTTCTCTCTGCCTCCGCCTGTGTCGGATCCGCCTGCGCGTCCGTAGGCACAAAGAACATCCCTTGGAGTAACGTTGTCCACTGATTCTCATTTTGAATCAGGGACTCCGTGTTGGCGGCATTCCGTCTGTCTTGTGCCGCTGCGTCAGCCTCAGCAGTGTGCTGAGCTTGGGCTGCCGCCTCATTGGCCAGCTGCTGACGTTCTGCCTCTGCTGCCTCCTGCTGAGCCTTGGCGGTAGCTACGGCATCCGTGAATACCTGTAGCCGCCCAAGGTAGTCAGCCAACGGTTCAAGGGCCCCTTGGAGCGGACATGCGGGAAGAACTCCGGTGGTAACCGGTACTGTCAGTGTTGTACTCGATGCCGCTGGAGTCGTCCGCCTGCTGAGTTGCTGTTGCTGATACTTGGTTCGTGGAGGGAGCACAGAACCGGCACGAACTGCAAGCCTGGCACAGCGTCGTGGCAGTGCCCCGGTGTCCTGTTCCATCGACATCAGTTCTCGCTGATGTGGTACTTGAGAAATCCCGGTGGCCACAGATTACGGGTAAGGTAGGGAGAGTGGGAACCGGGGTAGAACAATCAAGCACTTCGCATACAATCCCTATCCCACTGATGGACTTTAGACACCTAATCAAACAGAAAAAGATAAAATTTCCCGTAAACAACTCAAAAATTTGTAATAAGAAAATAATAACGAATTATTTAATCAATAAGTTTAATTAATGATTAATAACGAAAGAATAATTCTTAATGATAATCAATAAAACAATATTTGCAATAATGATTTCTTAATGATAATCAATAAAACAATATTTGCAATAATGATAATGAACGAATTTGAATTGTATCAAGATTAGGTGTCCGTTGAGATCATCTTTAGTCCGGGACTTCACCGTTAATTAGTGAACTTCCCGGAAGTTGCGATTATGGGGAACAATGACGAACAATATGCCAAAAAAACATTTCGGAAATATTGGAAAAAAAACACTCGAAATTTCAAAAAAAGTAAAATTTCAGGATTTTCAGCCTACAAAATCCGATTTTTAAAGGCTCAAGTTCGTTTTCGGAATTTCTCAAACCAGGGAAAGAAAAAAATTTCGCGAAAATTTCGGGCCCAACCCTAATTTTCCACGATTCGGCGGAATTTCCCCATTTACAGTTCCAAAACGTTCGAATTTCCCAAGTTGATCGAAAACCAAAAATTTTTGTAACCCTAATTTCCAATACTGCAATAAAACGGAATTGCCGATTTAGAAAACGAAATACAGGATTAAAATCAGAATGCTGAATTATAAAAACGGAAACCGAAATGTGAATCAAAATGCCGAATTAAGCAGAGTATTGATTTAACCCTAATCACGAATTAATAATCAGAAATCCGAATTAAACAGAATGTCGGATTGCCCATAATGCACTTAATCAGAATCCAAAATAACCAAAATACCGGATTAAAACTGAAATCCGAAGAAAAAGTCCTAATAACTAATTGAAACGGAATGCCGATTTAAATAGAATACCGAAAAAGAAAAAAAAATTGCAACTTTGAATCTCGATAGTAATACAGAGCTGATTGGGAAGATCGAAGAAGCAATCTATTCCTAATCAGACTTACCTTGTGAGCAGATCCGTGMAWYGGTCTGCTCCGATACCAAAAYTGTTACATACTCGTGAWTKYATCAACGAGTATGSGGCAGAACCAAAGATCRACCAATATAGGAWGAGYATGTATGCARCGGAAGTMTGATAAACRGACTGACTYACATWGACTGACTCACACAGWTATCACTCCACACACATACAATCGTGAGATGGTGGGGTCTGAGCCATGCATAGACGATGCTCAGGCCCCGTACACACATWCACAGATGAAGGTGGGAGGAGAGACGAAGGAGGTGGGAGATGTAGGTAGCACCAGATGTCACCGAGATAGAAACCAGTAGGTCACCGATATGGTAATCCAAAATGTCATCGAACAAGTTCAAATGTCGCAGACAATAAGTCACCAATGTCGGAGATACAGAGTCCTTATGTAACCGGTGTCCAATCTGTGATGCAGCCGAGTATCATCCCCAACAATCTCCAAGTCTCGAACCCGGTAAGTACCACAGCCTCTTACCACCGAAGTCCAACACTGATCTCTGTCCAACTAGTATAAGTCTTCCATATGAAGAAGAAGAAGAAGAAGAAGAAGAAGAAGAAGAAGAAGAAGAAGGGAGAGATGGCAGGGGAGGAGAAGGAGGTGAGGAGGAGGGAACGGGACCGTGGAGGGAGGAGAAGAGATCCTCGCCTCCTGGTACCTGCCCTGCTGCTGTCGAGGCGGCTATGGCCGCCGTGCTGCTGCTGGTCTCCTCGGTCGCTGCTGATGCTGCGCTAGCTCGCGCTGATGCTGCTGCCCTCCGCTCCTGCGCTCAAAATAGCGCTGCTGCTGCCAACCGATACGCACCAGCATTATGCCGGTGGCTCGATGCCTCGAAGTGAGGCCGGACCGGTCTTTAGTACCGGTGGGGCATGGGCCGGCCTCAATGTTGCGAGGCCTGCCCGTGCCCTGAACCGTCGAGATTGACAGTTCAGCCCCAACCGGCGGGCGGCAGCCTCAAGAGCGCCGCCAGGCCCAAACGGTAATGTCGTTTGGGCCTGCCCGTCGGGTCTGGTCCAAGTCGTGGCCTTTCGGCCTGATAATCCCCCAAGGTCGGGCCTTTAGGCCGTAATGTGTCCCTCTAGCCCTAAGTCGGGTCCGCTAGGACCCGTGTGGCATCGAAGATGTAACAACTGCCTCCTGCCTACCCGTGAAGTGCATGGGAAGTCCCTATGTACTATCTCCGCCTGCGTCCTAACTGCCTGCAGGGCGAGCCAGGCCGAGGAGGCTGCTCTTGCCAATGCCGAAGTGTGCCAGGGGCTGGAGCTGCAGCATCTGCTGAGGCTGTCGTGGGAACAGGCTGAGAATAGCCTGTTCCCGAAACCCTGGTTCGCTGCCTGAGTTTCAGGGCCGGTCGTTCTGATGAACGACCGAAAATGGCCCTTAGTTTCAGGCTAAAAAGGCTATTGCCAGTTTTAGTCTGAAACGACACATGGTCTGCAGGCCCCTGTATTTCAGGCTTTTGAGCTGAACAGACACGGGGCCTGTAGGCCCTGGTTTTCAGGCTTTCAGCCTAAGGGACGCAGGGCCTGGAAAATGGCCCTCGTGTGCAGGCGCAGCATGTAACAGCTGGTCACACTGAGGTAGGATAGTAGGGATAGGGGATGCACTGGGAGCGTTAACGCGGGGAAGGGTAGGGAAGGTGGCCTATCTTGTTAGGACAACCACCGGCTGCCGCTGCCAGCGATCAGCGTGGGTCTTGTCCTTGGCCTCTACAACACCCAGGGCTTAAAAATAATAATAATAATAATAATAATAATAATAATTAAAAATAAAAAATCATGAGAGCCAATGGAAAGGGGATATGATGGAATTTGCGCTCGCGCCATCCGGTTAGCGCCACGCTGCACTAGACCCGCGTCTCGCTTCCCCGGCCGCCAGCGCCCGAGTTGGCGCCATCGAGGAATCGAAGTCGAGGTTCGAGAACGACGAAGCGCCATGTCATCCTGAAGCCCCCATAAGACAGCCATAGCCCTGCTGGCCTGAAGGGCAGGACCACGCGCTCACGCCTTGCGCGTGCGCCCAGACCGCCATTTTCGTCTTTTGAATCGCGTGAGAAGCGAAGTTTCCGCGAAGGAGCTGCGAGGGTCGACGAACGGTACCAGCAGACATTAGAGGAAGCCATAATCGAGTAAGATCCGACAGTTTCTCTGACCTCTTTGGCCCACTCTAGTGTGCTAACCCTCTCTAAAACTTATTTCCCCTCTACTTACCAACAGCTCACCCATTAGCGTCTATCTTCATTCCCCCCTCTTACCGGCGATACCCAGTCCAATTAACTAAACCTTCCTAGCCCTCCTCTTCTCAGCTCCTTCCCTTTCCACATCCCACTCCCCACAGCCACGCCAGCAATCTCAACCGACCTTTTCGAATGCCTCCCTGTCCCTCTCACCTTTGTCGAAGTCTCCCCCCCAACCCCCCAACCGCCCACTGCCCCTCATCTCCCCCCATACCGACCCCCCCCTCCCCTCCTCTCTCATCATATTCTCCACCACAGCCATCTTGTTAACATACCCCAACTGTCTCCATCTAATGCTCCTCCGCTATCGATCTTTCCCCCTTTAGAGCAATCCCCATCCCGATTCCATCTCGGCCCCATCCCGATCCCATCTCGATCCCACTCTAACCCCATCGTGATCCTATTCCGACCCCATCTTGACCCCATCCCGACTCCATCTCAATCCGATACTTACCTCCTCCCGATCCGCTCATCCCAATCCTAATCAGATCCCACCCCGGATCCACCCCATCCCAATCTCGACCCTATCCCACTTTTTCGAGCCAACCTCGATCTCGCTATTTCGATCCCCTCTCGAACTCATCCCGATCCCATCTCGATTCCCCCTCGACCTTACCTCATCCCCATACCGACCCCATCTCACCCCCATACCAACCCCATCCCGACTCCAACTACCCCCAGTCTCTCCTTTCCCCACTCCACCCCGATTCCATTCCGAGATCATCCCAATCCTAGTCGGAGCCCTCCCCGATCCCATCCCCATCCCAATCTCGACCTTATCTCGCTTTTCGAGCCCATCTCGATCTCGCTATCTCACCTCGATTCCCTCTCGAATCACCAATCCCAACTCGTCTCCCCCTCGACCTTACCACATCAATATACCGACCTCGTCTCAACCTCGTGCCGACGCTATCCCGACTCCAACTACCCCACTCTCCCCTTTTCCCATTCCTCACCGATCCTACCCCGAGCTCATCCCAATCTGAGCCTGATCCCACCCCGGATCCCACCCCGACCCCATTCCCATCTCAATCGCGACCCTATCCCACTGTTCGAGCCCACCTCGATCTCGCTAGTCTCATCTCGATCCCCTCTCGACTCCATTCCGATCCCAGCTCGACTTCCCCTCGACCGTATTTCGACCCCACACGGATCCCATCCAGACCCCAGCCTGATCCCATCTCGATCCCATCCCGTTCCCATATCGACCCCACCCCAACCCCATCTCGACCCCAGCCCGATCCCATCTCTACCCCATCCCGACCCTATTCCGACCCCAACTACCCCTATACTCTTCTAGCCCCACTTCACCCCAACCCCAGTCTGAACTCATCCCGATCCTGGCCAGTTCCTACCCCTGATCCTACCCCGATCCCATCCCCATCTCGATCCCATCTCAACCTCATCTCCCTTTTGAACCCTTCCCGCTCTTATCCCACCTCGTTCCCGTCTCGACTCCTCCCCGATCCCAGCTTGATCCTACCTCAACATCATCTCGGCCCCATCTTGAACCCACCTCGATCCCATCCTGATCCCTTCTCGATCCCATTCCGACCCCATCTTGACCCCTTCCCAACCCTATCTCGACCCCAGCCCGATCCCATCTCAACCCCATCCTGACCCTGTCCCGACCTCAACTGCCCCCTTTGCCTCCTATCCTCATTTCACCCCTATCTAATTCCGAGCCCATCCCAATCCTAGCCCGATCTCACTCCCATCTCACCCTGAGTCTACCCCCGATCTCAGCCAGATTCTCTCCCCTCCTCATCCGACCCCATCCTGACTCCACATATTGCCTTCTGTCGAAACCGCACTGGCTACCAATCCCGTTTCACGCCCACCCCAGGCTAGTGTCAACCCCAATCCATTCACATCTAATTCCCGAGTGAGCCCCCGAAGGATCCAACTTTCTTTCAAAACTGATCCCACTTCGATCCCAACACGATCCCGGCCTCACCCCATCCTATCCCGACTTCAGCCCCTCCCATCCTATTCCCACCTCGATCCTAATCCGACTCCGTCTCGGTCCTAGCTGAACCCCGCCCTGATCCAACCCAGTTAGCTCCCGATCATACCCTGACTGTCAAATCAAACCCCAACAGGTCTAGGCACTTGACGGGATAGGGGTTAGATAGTGGGACTGGTCTCCCCCCGATCTAAAGAAAATGGCATCTTCGTTCCAAAACACGACCACAGTGAACCCAAACATGCTGGAAAGATGTATCAATGTGATTGATAACGAAGCCCTCAAATTTATGATTGACAGGACGAAGGTTCAAGGGATACAGACAGCGGAAACACAAAAGGTGGATAGCAAAGAAGAAGACGTAATAGTTTGGAAGTATCCGGAAGAGAAAATCGTTGAGCTCGATGACTTGCACGAAATGCATGGCGTGGTTTTCAATTTCACACGCAATGGAGCAGAACTCCAACCTGCAGAGAAGAGAAAATGGGTGATTGAGACAACAAAAAGGGAACTGAAACTCAAACAATCTGCGATACCTTCACACTGCAAAATTTGGGTCGTAACAATGTCCTGGCCTTGTTCATCCAGGAAGAACACGCAAAAGCGGCTGCAAAAATGCAATCCAGGAACTGCAACGGCTCAGTATGCACGATCTCCAAGTGGAAGAAACTGAACACCCAAAGGCAAGACCCAGTGTTCTGGGTTTCATACAAACAAACACTCTTAAAAAAGAACTTTTGGGTTCAATTTGACAACATTCCACTTGGGTTCCAAGGCTTATTAAAGGACAGGCTAGAGAAACAATACACAGCAAACAGGATCCTTAAATGGATCCTGCCTGCGCCCGAATTTTTGGCCCCGCATCGTGGGTCGCTGACTGCAGTACTGGAAGTGAAGACGGACAGCCCCCCTGTCTTCCCACAGACATGGAAATTACGATTGAAAACAGAATCGCGGACATCAAGATCTACACAAAAAGCTCCCCAATCTGTTTTCGGTGCAGGGAGCGAGGCCAAATGGGGACCGATACCAATTGTCCCAAATACCCGAAGCAGCCAAAGGAGCGTAAACTCCTTCCCAATATGCTGGCCGAAGTGGAGGAGGCACCGGGCATATGGTTTGTCGCAGATAGTAATTACGATGGTTGGGTCTTTGACGACAACCTGGAGGAACCAGATTGGGTATGGCACTACGTGGACAAGGAACCTATGGTCAAGAAACCGAACATTTTTCCTCCAACTGACAGCAGATGGCAGAAGAAAGGAATGGGGAAGGTGCCACCCAACCCAATAAAATTTAAAACTGACCCTCTCATCGACCCTCAGGTGATCAGAGAAGAGAAGGATCGGGAAGACTTGTTGTGGGATTTGGACGCAGTAAGGGAGCAGGTAATGCAGGAATTTGACAAGGAAGCATCCAGCATTAGGAGCAGGCTGAAAGGTCTGGAACAGGCATCTCTTCAGTCAAGGGTTAAGACCCAAGCAGAGAACAAACGAACCCTGAACAAGGAAGAAGGACAGAAAATCATGGAGGGGGGTCTTAAGAAGAGAAAAACAATCAATGCAGGGGGGAAAGAGGAGATTGTAACCAAACCTGTTGAGGTTTGGCAAGGAGACACGGCTAACGTGCCAGGGAAGGCTGGGTCGGAAACAAGTGCAGATGTGAGTGGTGTAGAGGAGGACAGCTCTGCAGGGGAAAGTGAAAAGGAATCCCAGCGTTCTCTTCAGTGGCTCAAGGAGTATGTGGAGAAAGTCAAAGGGAAAGGGAGCATGCTTTTGACATCCGTGTAGCGTGTCTTAAACATGCTGAGAACGCCCAGCTAATTGGCAAGAGGAGCATGTTTGGAGGAAATGGGATTTCAAACAACCAGTTCGAGGCTCTCAAGAAAGTCGGGTCAGAGGAATTGTCAGAATATACGGCCTTCAGGTATGCAGAAAAGAAGAGGGCAAGAGAACAAGGCGTGAAAGACAAGGACAAAACCATTCCTGGCGGGAAGTATGAATTCCAAAATCAAAGACCCAAGAAATGGAAATCAGGAAAGAACCAGAAGAAGAAGGAGAATGTTGCAGATCAAATGAAAACCGATGAAGAGTCGGGGCGCTCCCTCCTGGAAAAAGAAGCAGCAGTGGTAGTAGCCCAAACATACAAATTGAAGAGGCTGAACGAGGAGTATGCCCTAGAGTTCATCACAATTGATCACATCGCCAAAAAGGCAGCACCCCTTGTTGAGGAAACCGCCAGATCTGCATGGATCACCTTGATGAACATTCGGCCGCTTATCGCGGCAAGATATGTGTCGGGGATAGGTAAGTGGCAGATTGCCACGGATGTGTCCTTCCAGATCCCGGGCTTTGAGGAAGGCCAAAATGTAGTCGATATCCTCCGAAAAAAGGTAACCACTGCATACCCATTGGGGGCCTACGACACAATTCCAAATGAAACAACACAGGAAGACACACACTCTCAATCGGGTCAAGAGCAAGGGGATCAGTACGAGGAGACACCCACAGATTTAAGGAGGCATTCGCGCCACTGATCGTCAAGCTGCCGGAAACCACACAACTGTGATCAAGGATGAGATGGAGACCCTGGAGAACTGTAACGGCAGTCCCATACAGCATCCTGGCAAGCTCAAGTCTGCCTGCTGAGCTAAACGTCGTTTCAATCGCGACCCTGGTCACAACAGGCACGTTGGAGGGGGATGGAGATTTAGACACACGAGCGTACGCGGTTGACTGGGACCAGTTTTACAGGAGCGATGGATCAGACAACGACTCTTCGGGCTGGTTTTCGAATGGGGACTTTGTGGACGAGGGAGGAAAGATGGAAAAAGGGACAAATTTGGGTAAAGACAATGAGGGTAGCATGGGGCCATACAAGATGGATGACACTAGGTCGGCCTCACCCTCAAGGTCGACAGGGGAGAAGACCTGAAAGGGGGGGACACAAGTGGCCTTACCACCCCCTCTTAAAGGACAACTCTTCGGTCTAGGGTCTGCAGCCAGCGTTTAGGGTCCGGGCAATGGAGGACTTAGGAAAACGGCCAACACAAGGGTTGTCCAGGATGAGTGGAGACACCAAGGGATTGTTCTTCGATGTTGGAACGTCAACAGTTTGGGGAATGTGCAGGAGAAGGAAGACAAGATGTTCGACTTAATAAACGGTTTAACAGTGAGCAACAAGAAGGTAGCAGACATCATACTGCTACAAAAAACTCATCTTACTGCATCCAGTGAACGTACTAGGAACAAAAAGATGGTTGCCAGGAAGTTGGGAGGCATTAAGGAGGAAATATGGGCAGAGGACAGCACTTCAAGTACAAAAGGCACGGCCATCTTAATACCCAACTCCTCTAGATTCCCCCGGGCTGGGGAGGTGATGGATAGGGAAGCCGATCTTATCAACGGGAGATGGTGCTCTATGCATCTGAAATGGAATGAAGAGGAGTTTTGCGTGCTCAACGTCTATGCCCCAAATGAACCTACGGAGAGGACCGCTTTCATAGCTAGCTTGGACAGAAGAATCCCCCGTTGATTCCATGCATAGTGGCTGGAGACTGGAATGCCACTTTGGACCCTTCCATGGATCGTATATCCCGTTCACCTAACTCAGGCAGCTCTCAAGAGGCCTTGCCAATCCAGAAGTTGACGTTAGATCACGGTCTGATCGACCCCTTTAGAACCATGCACCCGTCCACCATAGCATTCTCGTTAATAAAAATAAAACATGCTCAGCGCACGGCCTTCTCACGTATAGATTACTTCTTAATTTCAGAGATATTGTTGGGGGCAGTCAAAGACGCACAGGTACTACCCCTAGGCCCATATCCAAAGCTAGATCACAAGCCTATAGAATTGATAATTAGTTTTGAACAGTCGGTCAAAAAAGGGAACAACTTCCACAAACTAAACAACTCCCTGTTACTGAGCCAGATTTTCCAAGGAGTGAGGGATTGCTGGCAAGGGCAAAGGAACTCTCTGCTAGCCACTCAAGATCGGTGGGAATGGTTCCAAAAAAGTTATCCGGACCTTTCAAAGACGGTAGCGAAGCTCTCTAGAAATCTTTCATCCGTTAGGAAACAAAGAAGGCAAAGTTTGGAATCGACGTTGAGGATCGTGGAGGCCAATTTGAGTGAAAACACCTCCTCCCAACTATATCTAGAAATCTTTGAAAAGGCCCGGGAGGAATTGGCTCTGTGGAGATGGTGGGATCTGAAGGATCTACAAGTTAGGTCCAGAATGAATGAATACGAACTCAGAGAGTCAATGTCCAAACATTTTTTCGCACGCATTAAGGCTAATTCCCAGGCGAGCACTATAGAGAGATTAAAGACTCTCTCACCCCCGGAGGAGACGATGTCCACCAGTGAAGACTTGTTAGGAATAGCAAAAAGCTTCTACCAAAACCTATACCAAATTAAAACACGGTCGCCCGTCTCAGCGGCTACAAGAGAAGCGAGACAAAGAATGCTACAATACTTGGAACGGACGATTACAGCCGAACAAGCGGAAGCCCTGGACAAACCAATTACGATAGAAGAGCTACACCAAGCACTCCAAAGTATGAAAAATGACAAATCACCAGGCATCGACGGCCTGTCCAAGGAGTTTTGGGCAAAATTTTGGCCTCTCTTCGAGCGAGATTTATTGAACTTGTACGAAGACAGTTGGGTTAAAGGGGGGCTAGGTAATCTCATCAGCAGCAGCGTGGTTACTTTGTTATACAAAAAGGGGGACAAATAAGACATCAGAAACTATAGACCGATCTCCTTGCTGACGCTCCCATATAAGATATTGGCTAAAGCACTGGCAGCGAGAATCACAAGCATAACGGACAAATGCTTTCATATTGATCAAACAGGCTTCATTCCCGATAGATATATATTGGACAACGTGCTAACTTTAAACGAGGCAGTCTACAGGTCAGAGAAAAAAAAATAAACACGGCAATACTCTTCTTTGATTTTGAAAAAGCATACGACCAAGTCAATGGTCCTTCATGGATGCCAGCATGGAACGGATGGGAGTGGGACCGAATTTCAAAAAGTGGATCCGAATTCTATACAACGATGCCATGGGATGTGTACAGGTTAATGGGTTCCTCTCCGAAAGCTACCCAATATCTAGATCAGTCAGACAAAGGGACCCTCTGGCACCATCAATCTTCCTTTTTGTGATGGAAGCCATTGCATCATTTCTAAGGAAAGACCCCGCTATTCGGAGACTACCGGGAGTGAATGTCGGATCAGTACACCACATGAGTTTCCCGACAGCCATCATGTTTGCAGACGACCTGACAGTCCTGATTCGGGCTTCTGACTCCTCTTTTAAATCATTGGCCAAAGCAATGGAGGTTTTTAGACTAGCATCTGAGATGAGAATAAACTGGAAAAAGACGATTGGGTGGTGGCTTTCAGACGAGGATCTTCCAGTCCTTCAGGGTCCAGAGTCGACTATGACATGGGATACACCAGAAACACCCACCCGCTACCTGGGTTTCTTAATGACTAAGAACGGTCTAGCTCCTCAGATGGCACAGAACACCCTAACCAAACAAATAAATAAGCTAGGGAGATGGGGGAGTGTCTTCACCTCACTAATCGGCAGAGCCCTGGTACTCAATACCTCGGTATTCTCGATGATGTGGTACATTACCTCGATATGGACAATACCGGATAGCTCACTAAAGGAATTGAACTCCTTAGCCAGGAATTACTTATGGTCACGCAACCCCAATAAAAGGAATAGCATACCCAAGATTGCATGGCAGTACATCACGGGGAAGCCGCTCTATGGAGGCTTGGGTATCATTGACCCTGAAGCTGAGACAAAAGCCCTCCAAGTCAGATGGGTAATCAAACTGCTGATGAAACCAGAAAGCCCATGGAATAAGCTGGCACTCGATAGCATCAGGGCGCTGGCACCTATAACCTCTCCCGAAAACATGGTCGGGCTATTTTGGATAATGACTAGGGAATGGAAGCTCAAAATTGGCAGGAGAAGGCAGAGAGGTGAACCAGTCCAAGACGCGGGCAGATTCACCACCCCATACTGGTCGGCCCTGATCCGGTTATGGAGAGAAATAATGCCAAAAGGAGTAAACAGGCCAAGGTCCGTACCTGAGGTCCTAAAACAACCACTTTTTGGTAACAGTTGGGTGACTGACGAGGGAAATAATCCCCTTGTCCTAGAACAGAGATGGCTCTCTTGGGTCAAAAACGGGGTATGGACAGTCGGTCACCTATGGAAGGAAGAAAGAAAGGAATGGATAAATGAACAAGAATTGAACATGCTACTGAAGGGGTGTCATAAAAGAGGACCCAACTTTCACTACATCATTGATAGAATCCCAACAAACTGGAAAGATATCTTAAAGGAAGCCACACCGTGGAAGGCTGGGGAGTGGGGACTTAAGGTGCAAGAATGCCCCCCTCAAGAGCCTTTCAGTTTTCTCATATGCACCCGGGATCGACCACACAAGCCGTCTTTTCGACCTTCCCGATTTCTTCGTCACTTCAAGGCAGGCCATTGATATTTAACAAGGATGTGGAGACGGTAGTTATGGAGGTCTATTTACTTGGAAAAATAAGAGTGCTAGGTCAATGGCCAAAACAGATCTTTAGACCAGAGACGACAGTGAGGAACCTGGAATTTGACCCAGCAGAATGGGGTTGGACACCAGACAAAGACAGGAATATCAACTCGAGGGTCCCGATATACAACTACACAGTTAAGGTCGGATATAAACTTTTGGTCAAAACAAAAGACCCAGTTCCGGTAATCAGAAACAGAGGGCAGAAATTATTAGGACAGGAAGCTGACAACCTCTCCCAGATCCCCTGGAAAAGATACAAAACTATTAAACCGATCAAAATCAGAAGCCTTCGGTGGCTTATCACATATGTCGCACTGCCGATCAATAAATGGTTACATACAAGACGTCACAAAAACGATCCTAGCAGCTCGGACCTATGCACGGTCTGCACCGGAGGGAGTCAGGAAGACATAGTACATTGCCTACTCTATTGC